CAGTTATCAGAGATACACTTTCTTTTTTTTTTTTTTTTTTTTAAGTTTTTTTTTTTTAAAATATATTTTATTTGATTTTGAACAGAGAGGAAGGGAGAGAGAGAGTCAGAAACATCAATGAGAGAGAGTCATCGACCAGCTGCCTCCTGCACACCCCCTACTGGGGATATGCCCGCAACCAAGGTACATGCCCCTGACCGGAATCGAACCTGGGTCCTCCAGTCCCCAAGCCGACGCTCTATCCATTGAGCCAAACCGGTTTCGGCACACTTTCTTTTTCTAAATTGAATATAGAAAAAGGGGCTCAGACGTTTTAGAAAGATTTTCGGTAACAAAGACTGAAACTAAAGGTGTTTGGGGTGAGCCAGGAAATTGTTAGCCACAATGCTTAGTTCTCTGGTCCATATAGGTTGAGTTTTTATTGAATCTATTTAAAAACAAAAATGTATTGAGAAAAAAAGAGAAATTGATGTGCTTAAATATATATTCTGATATGTTGGGGGGGAAATGAATAGTTCCTAAGGCATGGTTATATTTGCAAAATATATTCTTTGTAATTATTCAAAATGTTGCTTTTTTTGTTGCCATCTCTTTAAATGCCTTTTTGTTCTTTATTTCTATCTCCTCCTCCCAATAATTACACAACTTTCAATCCCAGTTAACAAAGTTTAAAGGACTAAGGGAAGGTTAGGGGATGTGCTAAATCACATGGCATTGACTTTGTTAGTAAAATAAAGCTGATTTTTATTTTATTTACGTTTAAAAAAAGATTTTTATTGATTTTAGAGAGGAGGAGATAATCATTGCCTGCCTCCTCTATGCCTCACACTAGGTATCCCCTCACTGGGTATCTAGCCTGCAACCTGGCCATGCCCTTGAGCCTTCTGATTCATAAGTCGATGCTCAAATGCAGAGCCATGCTGGCCAGTCTAAAACTACTTTTTAAAGCAGATCCTGTAACTGGTGCTTATTTAGATGTTAAAAGTGTTATAGTTGATTTTGTCTGTCCCTAAGCCAGGGCCTAGTTCCTTCTATAGAATATTAAGTCATTGATGTATGTAACACTGTTAGAGTTTCCTAACTGAAAGGTAGACAAGGAAACTGAACAACTTTCTTGAGAGAGATTCTCAGTCTCAGATACCTTTAGTTATTTTTATAGTCTCCCCCAAATTTTTCATTACTATATAATAGAACTGTTTAAGAAAATTTTGTTAGGATTAATGTGGATAGATTTTCTTATACTGCATATTGTATAGGCCTGTGTTACTGTGGATAGGGTTTTTTGTAATATGTATCATACCTTAAAATACTTAATTTTTTTTTATTGTTAACTTGATTTTATTTTTCCTAGTACTGCTTAGAAAATGCTAACTTCAACTTTGTTCCCAATTAGGATACTAGCCAAAAATAGACTATAATTTTTAGGAACATTTGAGCACTCATTTTTATGGAAGACAGATAAAAATTGTTTAAAATTAAAAAGAGCTTTGTTTTTAACTTCTATAACATAAAGATTTTATTAGTTGCAGAAGGTTTTAGTGTTGTAACCAGCACTTGGTTTTATTGGCAAGCTAGGTGATGCTAGGTGATTTTTTTTTTCACCTGTTACATTTTTGTGACTTTGTCCAGAATCTTATAAATGTGCTGTGTCTTATATGAGTACTCTATTAAAATGTTTTCATGACTAGCTTTGCCATTTTAGGTAAATAATTTTGAATTTTAATATTAATTGAATGTGAGTTAGTGTGGGCTGAGAGTTAAATATGAAAGAAGTAGAAGACCATATCTTCTTTATTTGTTCTTCACTTATTGAGCAAATCTCATCTGCCAGACATTCTATGAACTTGGGGGATGTAGAGATGAGACATTGATCTCTTACTAAGGAACATTCCAATTATCACTTATAGTCTCTGGGGGAAGTACGATCCCCCCCTAGGGGGCATGGAGAAGACAGCTGATCAATGATTCATTCTCATCATTTGATAAATATTGTCAATGTAAACAAAATATTAATAACACAGGTAAGATATGAGGTGGTGTGAATTAGGTATTCTGAGATTGAGAAGGGAGGTGCTCATTCTTAAAGGACTAAATTTTCAATCAAGTAAATAAGGGTGGGGATGTGATAGCTATTGCCAGCTGAGAAAACAGTACTTATAAGGGTATGACCAACTTGGAAATTTTCCTAATGTTAATAATTATGCTTATGCCCCAGAAAAATTATTAAATTGAATACTTATGGATTTAATTTGCAAGCTGAATGAGAATGTTTTGATTCCAGCTGTGGGCAGGGGCAGGGAGCAGGGGTCTTCTTCCTGATGGAGGTTGCAGGTGTATCAGACCAATACCTACACAAGATTGGATATGATGACAAGATTACAAATATATCTTGTCCTTGCTAGGCCTTTAAATCTATAGGGTTCTTAAAAGGGAAAGAAGTCATCCTCATGGCAGAGGTCTTTTATTCTGTCTCTTAGGATTCAAGAAAATACACTAGTGTGAGGCTTATAAATAAACCTTATTTTAGTAGTTGCTAATATCCAATCATTGATTGGCTGCCTGCCCCATGCCCCCTGTCATACGGCCTCTACTGGCAATTGAGGCCACAACCTGGGTCTATGCCCTTGACCGGAATCGAATCCAGGACCCTTCAGTTCACAGGCCGATGTTCTACCCACTGAGCCAAACTGGCTATGGCCAAAATTCATTATCAAGTATGTTTCATTGTCTGTGATGGTCTACCAGTAACTTAGCCACAAATCTGGTCCAGGAAAGAACCCACACTGTCCAGTTTAGAGTGTATAGATTAGGGGTGGGGAACCTTTTTTCTGCCAAGGGCCATTTGTATATTTATAACATCATTCATGGGCCATACAAGATTATAAACTTAAATATTAGCCTGCTATATGTGATCGAACATTTCATTAACCAACCCCTAATGCCTTGGTGGGCTAGACCAAATGATTTCGTGGGCCTTGTACGGCCTGGGCCAGACATTCCACACCCCTGGTATAAGTAATGAGAATCATATAAGAGGCACTCTCATTTTGTCTGACTATATAAATCTGTGATGGTATCCTGGTCTTTCTGTATTATTCAGCTGTGATAGACAAACAACCTTTATTTATTTAAATACTAGAGACCCAATGCACGAATTTTGTGCCCTGGGGTTAGGGGGGATCCCTCAGCTTGGCCTGCGCCCTCTTGAAGTCTGGGAGCCTTTAGGGGATGTCTGACTGACATCCTTAGCTTCCACAGAGGTGGGAGAGGCTCACCAGCCGTGGGAGTGCACTGACCACCAGGGGGAAGCTCCTGAGTTAAGTGCCCACTCCTTGATGGTCAGTGCATGTCATAGCGACCATTCATTCTGCTGTTCAGTCAATTTGCATATTATCCTTTTATATTATAAGATATTTAAAAATATATATATTGATTTTTTACAGAGAGGAAGGGAGAGGGATATAGAGTTAGAAACATTGATGATAAACATCAATCAGCTACCTCTTGCACACCCCCTAATGGGGATGTGCCCACAACCAAGGTACATGCCCTTGACCACAATCGAACCTGGGACCCTTCAGTTTGCAGGCTGACGCTCTATCTACTGAGCCAAACTGGCCAGAGCTATAGGATATTTTTTAAAACTTATTTCAGAGAGGAAGGGAGAGGAAGAGATAGAAACATCAATAATGAGAAATAATAATTGACTGGCTGCCTCCTCCAAGCCCCCTTATTGGGGATCAAACCCATACTCTGAACCACCAACCTGGGGATTATACTGTGACATGGTGTATAGGTTGATTTTCAACCTTTGAACCACACTGGCCAGGATGGCAGACAACCTCTAGGGAGTTAAAGGTAATCCTAATCTGGTTCCTGTGGTTTTTCTTTTTTCTTTTTTCTTTTTTTTTTGTTTTGTTAATCCTCACCTGAGGTTATTTTTTCCATTGATTTTTAGAGAGTGGAATGGGGAGGGGGAGCGAGAGAAGGGGAAAAACATCTCAGTGAGAGGGAGACATTGATTGGTTGCCTTGTCCCTGTGTCCCAACTGGTTGGGGATCTAACCTCCAATCCAGGCATGTGCCCTTAACCAGTGACCCATAGGCATGTGGTCAGACACTCTTAACTACTGAGCAACATTGCTCAGGGCTTTCTTTTTTTCATAAGTGCTTTGCTAAAAATATTTACACATCTATCCAGAATGTAGCCTTGAAAACAAAAACCCAGAGTAATTTTTTATAGTGATTCCTACTGAAGTAGAGAAATCCTAATCTAAGAGGTTCTTTTGTGGAGATTCTGTCATCAATTCAACAGTATTTACTAAATGCCCAATATGTGCCAGGCAATGTTGTAGGTTTTGAGACTAGTGAGTAAAATCATCTTAAATACTTGCCTACAAGGAACTGACATTTCATTGGGCAAAATAGACAATAAGTATAATTATAAAATGAATTATATAATATGTTAGAAGGGAGTAAATGCTATGAGGAAAAGATAGATGGTAACATGGAAGTATTGTGGTAAGGGTGTGGTAGTAATTTTAAATAGGGTGGTCAGGGTAAACCTCACTGAGAGAGTAATATTTGAGCAAATACTTTAAAGGGATAACTGAATAAGTCACATGAATATCTGAGAAGAACATCCCAGGTAGAGCAGCCAGTGCAGAATTTGTGACTTGCATTTGAGCGAGTTGTGACTGTGACTTAGTGAGTGTGAGCTAGGTGGCGACTATTAGAGATTGAAGAAAGAGAGATTGTGAGCATTGAGGAGACCTTTTAGTCCTCTAGTACTTTGGCTTTTACACTATATTTGAAAATAAACCCTATTAAGATCAAGTAGAATTTTTCTTTAGAGATCTGGGGTCAGGAGAGAAGGTAAGCAGTCAGAGAAGGAACTTCTAGTCTTAGGATAGCATATATTAATGTTATATCCTAGACATAAGTTTATAGCAAAACAAATAAGATTTTTGCTGATATTTTCTACTTTATTTTTGATTATAGGGACTTTCAGTTACCTTGATGATGTCCCATTTAAGATAGGAGACAAATTCAAAACACCAGCTAAAGTTGGTCTACCTATTGGCTTCTCCCTGCCTGATTGTTTGCAGGTTGTCAGAGAAGTACAGGTAAGTGGTGATATTTAGTTAAAGTTTAGTGCATTTAAAAATTTAATGAGTAAGAATTTGATGTGCAGTGAAATGGAAAAAAACCCATTCTCATATCTGTATTTTTTATAGCTTGTTATTGCTTGGCTTACATTGTGTGTCACACACACACACACACACACACACACACACACGTGTCTATATATCTATTACAGATCTTGTGTAATCTGTTAGATTGTATATTCCTGGAATTCTGTGCCTTGTCTAAAATGAATTCCCATTGCCTATTTTATTTATTTATTTACTTCTTTTCCTTTTCTTTATTAATATCCTCATTATCTCTGTCACTAGAGTTAGATAACATTTCTCTCTGTTGTATCTCCCCATCTAGTCTATTCATGTTCCCTCCAAACTAGGTTACTAGCAATTTGTTGAATATACTGTGTATATAAAATGCTTTTTTTCATGAGCTGTTACTTCCACTTGGGGTATTTTTCTCTTTCTCACCGTACTAAAAGCTGTTGCTCTTCTAGAATTGTGCTGAAATGCCATCTTCTCAAAACCTTTCTCAACCCTCTCATCTTTAAAGCTCAGTTATATATAAATGTATATATAGAATTCTTGAAAACAGCAAAGAGACCGATGTTATACGACTTCCTTTCTTCCTTCGGTACACATTTTGAATGCTTGCCTTTGAGTGGTGTCTGCGAGGCTGAGGATAGAGAGAAATGCCTTGATTACTGTCCTCAAGGAGCTACAGTTTAGAGGAGTCAAGTGGAAAAACAGTCCACCAATCATTCAAACACTTCTTCCTGTAACTTAAGATTTTTTTAAATATACTTTTTTTTTCCCCCCAAAGTTGTTCTGTTTATGGGGGATTTAATAAGGTATTAGTATGTCATTCTAAAAAGGATTCTTTGTTGTATCTTTCAGTCTATATGCAGTGAGTAGTCATAGTGGGAATATTTCAGTTATATTTTTAAAAATAACAGCTTTACTAAGATATAATTCACATACCATAAAAATCACCCTTTTAAGGTGTGCACATAAGTGGTTTTTTGTATATTCAGAGATGTGTAACCATTATTATGATCTAATTTCAGAACATTTTCATCACCCCAAAAAACCCCAGTGCCCACGAGCAGTAGTTACTCCCTATTTTCCCTTACCCCCCAGCCCCTCGCAAACACTGTTTACTTTCTGTCTCTATAAATTTGCCTGTTCTGGACATATCATATAAATGGAATAATACAACATATAGCCTTTTATAACTGGCTTATTTCACCTAGCATAATGTTTTCAAGGTTTGTCCATATTGTATGAACGAAATATTAGTACTTCATTTATTTTTATAACTGAATAACTTCATTGTATCAATACCATATTTTATTCATCAGTTGATACATATTTTAGTGGGTTCTACTTTTTGACTATTAGGAGTAATGCTGCTATGAACATTTGTATACAGGTTTTTGTGTGGACATAGGCTTTCAGTTTTCTTGGGTATGTACCTAGGAGTGGAATTGCTGGGCCACATGGTAACTAACCTTTTGAGGAATTGGCAGACTGTTTTCCAAAATGGTTGCATTATTTTATAATCACATCCACACTGCATGAGGGTTTTAATTCCTCCATATCCTTGCCAGCTCTCGTTATATTCTGTCTTTATACACTCTTCTGTAATAGTCTCTTATTGTAGTTTTGATGTACATTTCCTTAATTACAAATGATATTGAGTATTTTATATATTTTTGAATACTGAATTGATTGATACTCCTTTTGTGTTTGGAGACTATTGGACAGAAAGATATAGATTTCCCTTATAATGTTTTACCTTGTTTTGTTTGGTGACTTTTATTTGCAACAACAAGTACTTGGTAAATAACCTCTCTGTGTGTAGGATACTATTAGCAATATAATTAAAAAACACCTCCATCCTTTTTTTATAATTCTTTATTGTTTAAAGTATTACATATGTCTCCTTTTCCCCCTATTAACCTCTCCCCACCTGTTCCCACCCCCAGCACATGCCCTCACCCCTCTACTGTCTATGTCCATGGGTTATGCTTATATGTATGCATACAAGCCCTTTGGTTGATCTTTTACCCCACCCCATCTTTGCTTTCCCTCTGAGGTTGGACGGTCTGTTTGATGCTTCTATGTCTCTGAATCTATTTTGTCCATCAGTTTATAATGTTCATTATATTCCACAAATGAGTGAGATCATATGATATTTATCTTTCTCTGACTGGCTTATTTTGCTTAGCATAATGCTCTCCAGGTCCATCTATGCTGTTGCAAATGGTAAGAGATTCTTCTTTTTTATAGCAGCGTAGTATTCCATTGTGTAGATGTGCCACAGTTTTTTAATCCACTCACTTGCTGATGGGCACTTTGGCTGTACACCTCCACCTTTTATTCTCATGTTATTCACCACTTCGTTGACAGATTCAGAAAACTTGTTTTGAATGCTGTGAATTTTCTGTTTATTTGATCAGTGTTCACTATACTCATAACACCCAGTAGTAACAAAAAGGGAAGTTTAGGCTCTGAGCTCTATTCCAATATGGGCCAGCTGAAATTTTTTTGTTCTGTAATTGCAGATTATCGTTAAATTTGGACTGCATGGGGTCTCCATGGGGAATTCGGCTGTGGTATTGTTGCTGGATTCCTCCCAATACAGAGAAGAATCAGACCTAGAGCCATAGACGGCTAACTTGAAGTTTCCTATAACTTTGCCTTATTTGCTCTTATATGGTAGTACGAACTCCATTTTTCAATTGAAAATTCACAAGGGGAGCAAGTGGAAAAAACATATATCACCCTTGCCCTCAGGGTCCAGGTGGTAGTGGGAGCCACAGCAGTGGGGGTGGTCCTTAGTGTAAAGGTTTAGAGTGGATTCTGGTGTCACTCAAGGGGCTGGAATTGCTGTGTCATCCTGTACAGATTGCTTAAACTCCCCAAACCTTCATTTCCTCATCTGTAAAATGGGAATAATTAGCTTTTAAAGTTATTGTAAGGATTAAACAAAATAATGCACTTATAATGCTTATTCTGGTTCCTAATATTCCATTTTTTTTTTTTTTTTTTACTATTTATTATAGTACACTCAAACCACACTCTTATTTTTCACTGTGATATTCCTGTTATTTTCCCCCCCTGAATTTTTCTATGTTCTATATTACTTTAGTAATTAAAAACCAAAAGCTTGGTAAAGGTTTTATTAAAAAGGAAAGACATTTCCAGTTATTTTGGGAAATAAAACATCGGACACCTGTGTTCACAGGCATCAGGAAGTTGGTTACAGCCTCAGTTTTTGGTAGAGGAAACCACTTGCAAAATTGGATTTCCTCCACAGTTACAAGCAGCAGTCTTTGCCCACGTGCTGTTTTCTTACTGTGCTGTTAGTGATAGAAAGGAAGCACTAATCCCCAGGCGCCTTTCTGATGCCCAGCAGCTGGCTCAGGGGAGTAAGTTAACTTGATAGGCGCATTTCCAGGCTTCTTTTGTGTTGTTTGAAGCTGAAAGGCTTGGAAATGACCAGAGTTTTCTTCTTCTCTTTTCTCTTCTTTCCCCTTCTTTCCCTCTTAATGTGTCTCCAACCTTGAACGTGCACACAAGACATTGATTAGCTTTGGTGCTTTAGGGTGAGCATCGGAGGTTTTTTCCTCCTATTCCTGGAGAAAAAAATTATATGGATTTAGTTTCATATAATAGTATATTTTTTCAGGTGTGCAAATGACATTTTTGTAAATTGAGCTGTATACTGTAAGGTATTGTTAAGAATCCATTAAGTAAATTCTTATGCAATTTACTCTGTAAAAATCTTAATTTTAATATGTCTAGATTTAATCAGTTTTCCTGCACTTTGAGAACAATCTGTTCATTATAAGATGATCGTGGTTTAAGAAGCATAGAGTATTTAGTTAGATTGCCTGGGTTCAAATCCAGGCTCTACCTCTTAACAGCTTTATTACCTTGGGCAGTGGTACCTGCTTTAAAGGGTTGTTGAGAAATCTAGAGTCATTTCATAAACTCTGCTTCAAATCATGCATGGTACCTTGTAAGTGCTTCTTAAATGTTAGGGATTATTATCATCCAGCACATGATCTATTAGACATTTGTGCTAGATGATAGAGGCCTTAAGGCCTAAAGCCCAGTTTGCTGCCCATAAGAGGCATGTGATATTGCTAGGGAAGTGTTTAGAGCAAGGGTGAAATCATCTGGCCCGCAGGCCACATAAGGCCTGTGAAATCATTCGGTTGGTCTGGCCTTGCCAAGGCATTAATTAAATGTTTGACCAAATATAGCAGGCTGATTTTTTAAAAAAAAAATATATTATTTATTTATTTATTTATTTATTTATTTATTTATTTATTTATTTATTTTTACAGAGAGGAAGGGAGATGGATAGAGAGCTAGAAATATTGATGAGAGAAAAACATTGATCAGCTGCCCCCTGCACACTTCTCACTGGGGATGTGCCCGCAACCAAGGTACATGCCCTTGACTGGAATCGAACCTGTGATCCTTCAGTCTACAGGCCAACACTCTATTCACTGAGCCAAGCCGGCCAGGGGAAGCAGGCTAATTTTTAAAATGATAATTTTGTATGATCTGCGAATGATGTTACAAATATACAAATGGCACTGGGCAGAAAAAAGGTTCCTCATCCCTGGTTTAGAGAAAGATTAAAACCATTGTGGTCACATGTGCTCTGCATCAAATGATAGAGATAGATCTTTGTAAAACTTCAGAGGAATAGGTCATCAGCAAAGCATCATAGAGGAGGCTGGCTGAGCTGTAAGCCACTAATGAAGAAATCTAGGAAGGGACATTGCCTGAGGGGAGAGAAGCAAGGGCATGACACTGTAAATTTTGGCCTGGTGCATAGGACTCGAGGTGTGGGAGCTCTTTTTAGTTAATTTCTAGAAGTAATCTGGGAGCATACTTTGATTAAATCCTATACGATTAGGAAGCCTTAGTCTTCTTGAGTGCAGATCATCCAGTACACCTGAAATGCTGCATTGGGGAGGGGCAGCCACTTAGGTTCACATCTTCTTTCTCTGATATATCTTTGCAGTATGACTTCTCCTTGGAAAAGAAAACCATTGAGTGGGCTGCAGATATTAAGAAAATCCAGGAAGCCCAGCGGGAAGCAGAGCGGAAGGCTGAAGAAGCAGAAGCTAAAGTGAATTCTAAGAGTGGCCCAGAGGGCGATAACCAAATGAGCTTCTCCAAGACTCACAGTATCACCGCAATGCCACCTCCTATTAACCCCATCCTTGCCACCTTACAGCACAACAGCATCCTCACCCCGACTCGGGTCAGCAGCAGTACCATGAAACAGAAAGTTCTCAGCCCACCCCACACAAAGGCAGATTTCAATCCTGCTGACTTTGAGTGTGAAGAAGACCCATTTGATAATCTTGAGTTAAAAACTATTGATGAGAAGGAAGAACTGAGAAACATTCTGGTAGGAACCACTGGACCCATTATGGCTCAGTTATTGGACAGTAACTTGCCTAGAGGCGGCTCTGAGTCTGTGTTACAGGATGAAGAAGTCCTGGCATCCTTGGAGCGGGCAACACTAGATTTCAAGCCTCTTCATAAACCCAATGGCTTTATAACCTTACCGCAGTTGGGCAACTGTGAAAAGATGTCGCTGTCTTCCAAAGTGTCCCTCCCCCCCGTACCTGCAGTGAGCAATATCAAATCCTTGTCCTTCCCCAAACTTGACTCTGATGACAGCAATCAGAAGACAGCCAAGTTGGCAAGCACTTTCCATAGCACATCCTGCCTCCGCAATGGCACGTTCCAGAATTCCCCAAAGCCTTCCACCCAAAGCAGTGCCATTGAGCACAGTGGGCATCAGAGTCTTGGGCTTTCAACTTTGAACTTGGACAGTGGCACAGAAGTGCCAGCCCTGACCCCTTCTGATATGATATCCCAGATGCCTTCCCTCTCTGTCTTGTCTGTGTGCACAGAAGAATCATCACCTCCAAATACAGGTTCCACGGTAAGTCTTAAATCCCCCTAAGCTAAAGCTCCAAAGAGTTTTAAATTCTAAAACTCAGTTGACATTCTCACGTTCTTTTCAAGGTGTAGGGCAAGATGGGCATGGCCAAATGGACCTTGCTTATACTATAAGTATATGTAGTTCTGGTTTTTCCTGAGGACAAGGATTATTAGCTTTCCACCTACCCTGGTTGATGTTGGCTTGTTCCTGCCTTTATATTTTGGTGTTTTCCTGCCTAATCAATTTCTTTTCTGTGCTGCATATCTTGCGTTTGCATTTTTTTTTAAAGGCTTTCTTTTTTTGTATCCTTTAACTGTTTCGTATTGCCTTCTATTTTTAAAAAAATATATTTTATTGATTTTTTACAGAGGGGAAGAGAGAGGGATAGAAGAGTTAAAAACATCGATGAGAGAGAGAATCATCAATCAGCTGCCTCTTGCACATCCGCACTGGAGATGTGCCTGCAAACAAGGTACATGCCCTTGACCGGAATCGAACCTGGGTCCTTTCAGTCCGCAGGCCGATGCTCTATCCACTGAACCAAACCGGTTTCGGCCCTATTGCCTTTGTTTTTTGTTAAGATTGCTTGGTACTCTTCATTATATCTTTTCCCTACCTCATTCTGTCTTGAAATTTGTGTGTACCATGGTTCTGCCAGTTTGTGGTGTTTCTTCAGACTGGGTGTTGCTTTAGTACCTGGGAGATGATTTGTATTGGAAGTCCAAGAAAAACATAGAAATTTGTTACTTTAAACCCAATGGTTTTAATGGTGCAATTCCTTTTTTTCTTTCTCTGCTAAGAATTTTGCAGATTTCTCCAAAGGGAGTAAGAGGGGAAGGTGGGGATTTAGATTTAATGTTGAAGTATGGGTTGATAAAAGAGGTGCATTTTGTATCATCTTTTAGAAAATCTGGTTTTGTCACATACACAAAAGTTTCATGTGCGGTGAGCTTCCTTTGTCACAGAGTGTATGCTTAGCTCTTGATGTGGTTGTTTTGACAACACAGAATAATACATTGTTGCATTCTAGGATAGAAACCATGGAAGTCCAAGAACCTTCTACTGTACAGTCCACGGATTCTTAAAATGACAGCCTATCAAAGACAGTATTTAGAGCCAGAAAGGAGCCTGATTATATTGCTGTGCTATCTCTCAGACACCATAAGAGGCCTGCTATTAGTTGGTCAAAGGATGAGCCTTGGCCTGCACAGTGCGAGTAAGGTTCCAGCAATATCATTCTTGGTAAATTATTGTCTCTGTGTCAGTGCTTCTATTGTCAGCTCACTGCTGCTTATAAATTTCCATGGGCCCTAGCTGGTTTGGCTCAGTAGATAAGAGTGTCCACCCTTGGACTAAAAGGTCCCAGGTTCAATTCTGGTCAAGGGCACATAACCTCAGTTGCAGAGGCAACCAGTTGTTATATCTTTCCATATTGATTCTTCTCTCTCTCCCCCACTCCCTTTTACTATCTCTAAAAATCAATGGATTAATATCCTATCTCTAAAAATCAATGGAAAAATATCCTATTCACACAAAAAGGAAAACAACACAAGTACTCTGGTGCTACCTTCTAGGAATGGGCTTTTGTACTAATTCCTCCTGGTTCATTATTGGGCTGTGGTCAGCAGGGTACTCCTTCGTGATATACTGTGTGTGTGTTTGTGTATAATTTAAAGAGAAATCCAGTTCCTCAGAGGAGACTTTAGGGGGTACTCTGTTGGCTCCCCAGGATAGTATTTCTTTAAAAAATTTTTAAAATTTTTTTGTTGATTTCAGAGAGGAGAGGAGAAGGAAATAGAAACATCAATAATGAGAGAATCATTGATATGCTGCCTCCTGCACACCCCCTACTGGAAACTGAACCTGCAACCTGAGCATGTGCCCTTGACCGGAATTGAACCCAGGACCTTTCAGTCTGCAGGTGGAACTCTATCCACTGAACCAAACTGTCTAGGGCAATATACTGTATATTTTAGAAATTAAATGCACTCTGGGAAATATTAGGGTTCCTCAGATACTCCCCTTAAAGTTGTAGCAACCATTTAGATGAACTAAATGACAGCTCTTTCTCAAACCAGAATACTCATCATTCTTTGATCCATCTGATGGTGAAGTTTCTTTTAGATCCATTCATTTTAGGGTGTGAGGGGCACTGTTTCTTGCTGGCCTGTGGACTTGCTGCCTTCAAGGGCCCATAGAAACAAAACTGTTCTCTAAGGAAGTCATGACCCTTACCCTCAGGGAGCAAAGCCTAGTTTCCATCCTGGCCCTCTCTCTTAGTTATAAGTGTTTGAAACCCACTATGAGAACCTTTCTCTGTGAGAGAAGCTCTTTTCTCTAAGATAGTGACTTGAGGCCAGAGGGAAGTGATGGTGTGGTCAACAGGGCTGTACACACACTTCACTTAGGAACTCCCAGGGAAGTATTCCTGGAATTTGGTTCTTGTTGGCTATTTTAGGCCCAATGTTTGGGTCTTAGTTTTCAGATTTTGACTTCATGTTTTAGTGTTTAAATAAACTAATCTTAATAGTTGAGAAATCCATGGGATCATCTTGAGAGAACAAACTTATAATGTGCCTTTATTCTGAGTCAGTGTAAAACTGCCTGACTTAACTCTAGTCAGTGTCTCTTCCCACTATTCTTGCTGATAGTTAAACTTCACTATAGGTTGAAAGTTAATTGGCTCTGAGGGGAACTCTACAAAATGTCAACATGTGAAGGTCTTGTGGCTGCTATAATTTCTCCAGAGAATTGTGCTTGAGGGCTAAGGAAGCTTGGGTAAGGCTTCTATCGACTTTTATTTAATCCCCATTTCGGTTCTTGTCTCTCTCTGCTGTATGCTATGCCTGGTGTCTTAACCTTTTTTTTGTTGTTTGGTTCTCATTTTCTAGAGACTAAACCTTCTGCCTCTTGTGGAGGGTGAAGATGGGTGGGAAAGGTATTTATTGCCTGGGGTTTTTACTGCTCTGAGCACTCATTTTGTGCTCTTGCTTTATTCCATCAGTACCTCTTGCTTCCAAATACTGAATCCCTCTCCTGTCTCTCACTTATAATTGCCTTTTAGCTTCAGATTTTTCCCTGCTGTTCCGTTTCTTTGACTTTAAAGGTTAATAGTTTTCATTGTTTTATTATTTTAGTAGGCTTTGGGGAGGATCAGTGTTAGTTTGCTGTTAAAATGAAATTTTAATATACTTCTGTTTTGTCAACTGATGATCAGACCATGTGTCAAGCCCATATAGCGAGGCCCCCAGGATTCAGAAATGCCTGGTAACTAACCTCTGGGAGCTCACATTAATGTAGTTTGATGTGAAAAGTACTGTGCCACCAGTGTGATCAAAATACTATTTGGCTGTTGGTATTCTGGTGCCCAGGCAGAGTCTGACCCTGGAGAGACAATCTTGGGGCGTGCAAAAGTGGCCAGAGTAGTGTGATCCAGTCCCCATGATCTGTGTATTGACTCCTATAACCTAATGACTGAGCCCTGTGCCTGTGGGTTAAATGCTTGAGTGGAAACAATGGATTTTAAGGCCTGTAATCTTGGCTTTTCCTAGCTGACTTTGAGAAGAGCATCTGGTTTTAGTTCTATAATTTCGAACTTGCTTGTAGGACAGCAGACTCCCTGTCTCCTAACCCCATAACCACATAAAAAATAAAGAAACATTTGTTGAAACATTTTTCGTGGTTCTTGGGAGATGGGCCAAACTGCAGAACAGCTAGTGACCTTGTTCCCATGGTAGTTTGGTCCTTTGGCCTTCATGCCTTGGGCCTGAGTCATTATCAGAAGTGATGGGAGGAGTTAATTATGGGATTCTGTCCAACAGGAAAGACTGGGTTAGTACGATTGGGTGGTAGGAAGCAGGCTGCCTGTAGTCAGAGCATTCCACATTCCAGTCCTTGAGGCACAGCCTGGGGTGGCTAATATATTCCTTCAGCCCTGGCTCTGTAAGGACAGCAGCTCTAGCAAGGAATCGAAGCATAGTGTGGGGCAAAGATGGAATACCCTCAAAGCTCTGGGTCCCTGAGCTGGCCATGTGTGAGCAGACCAGTGATAGAAATGAGGATAGAGACCTTGTTGGAAGAGGCAGCTCCAGACTTTGGAGCTCTGGAAAGAAACCATAGCAGCCAGCTTGGGCTTCAGTCCTGTGGGCAGTCTCAGAACTTCAGGCTTGGAGGATTTGGGTATGGAAGGGCATGTGGTTCTCGTGCTTTCTCATTCTGCAAGGTGGGTGAGGTGAGACAGCCGCACTATGTCTTGCCAGCTTCTCTCTCCGTAGCTGGAGCTCCCCTACCCCTCTTCATTCCTCTTCAGGATGTCTGCCCGGCAACCTGGCCCTTTCTCCCAGGTAGACTGCTTCGACCGGGGCTTTGATTAGAGTCAAAGTGGCAAACACCTAAACTGGGTCATTTCAATAACATGTCTTCTGGGTCCACATCTTGTCTTGATCCTCTTGTTTCTCCTCCACTAGGCCACACCTCCTAATTTCTCAATGTCACAAGTGCCCAACACTCCCAGCTGTCCCCCGGCTTATTCTGAACTGCAGATGCTGTCCCCCAGTGAGCGGCAGTGTGTGGAGACAGTGGTCAACATGGGCTACTCCTTTGAGTGTGTCCTGAGAGCCATGAAGAAAAAAGGAGAGAATATTGAGCAGGTGAGCATTTGGTTGGTGGGGAAGGGAAGGTGGGGAGGTGTGTGATCAGCCAGAGATGTTCAGTCCTCTGGAGCTGAAGTAGTATCCTGCCTCTGTCTGGAGCCCCTCAGACTTACAGCATCAATGTCTGTTCCTGTGAGTTTGGGGGACTCGGGCACTTTCTCGGGGGAAACCAGCAGCAGTGTTTCTGCTTTGGGGCTGCTCTGGAACCTAGGCTGTAGGAAAGTCTTGGAAGTATTGGAGCTGTTGGACTGTTATCCAACTCCTCTCCCTCTTCTGCTCCTCCTGAGAGCGCATCCTAGGGTTCAGTTATGGTCAGATTTCTCCCAAAAATTTTTATCGTGTCATAGTTGCCCGGGGAGTTCCAAAATAGGGTACCAGAGTCTTAAACCTTAGATGCATTTTCTGACTTGAGCCATTTCTTTTTAAAAATAATTCTTTATTATTGAAATGATTACTATGTTCCCCCTTTTTCTCCCCATTGATCCCTTCCAGTTCTCCCCAGGCCCTCACCACCCCATTTTCTGTGTTCAGGGCCATGCATATATGAGTACAACGCCCACGCCTTCTCCCAGAGATTCCACAGTGTTCCATACTTCCATGTCTCTGGAGCCACTCCATTCATCAGTTTATTTTATTACTCAGATTACATATGATGACTTGAGCTATTTCTTAGAGGAATACCCTGCCCAGGCTGTGGAGTTTATGTTCTAGAACTGTGGTCGGCAAACTGCGGCTAGCAAGCTAGCTATATGTGGCTCTTTGGCCCCTTGAGTGTGGCTCTTCCACAAAATATCACGGCCTGGGCAAGACTATTTTGAAGAAATGGCCTTAGAAGTTGTTTAAAAAATTTGGCTCTCAAAAGAAATTTCAATCGTTATACTGTTGATATTGGCTTGGTTGACTAATGAGTTTGCCAACCACTGTTCTAGGAGATATGAGTCAGCTATGACAGGAATTCGTTTGAAAAATGGCTACTCATGTTTAGAAGGGTGTGCCCGTCTGTTCAGCAGATAGTCACTGAGGTCCTGCTGCATTGAATACAGTTCAAGGCACAAAATCAAGTCCTGTCCAGGATCTAAGACCAGGATTGGGAGATGTCACACTTGCTGGCTTGTGTAAGACTCTTGGGAAACATAGGAGTGGCAGTAGGTGCTTAGACTTCTTGATTTTTTTCCCCCTTAGATTCTCGACTATCTCTTTGTACATGGACAGCTCTGTGAGAAGGGCTTCGACCCTCTTTTAGTGGAAGAGGCTCTGGAAATGCATCAGTGTTCAGAGGAAAAGGTAGGAAGCTTCATGCCCTCTGGAAAGAAGAAACAATATAACCTGGGGTTCCCCTCAACCCACAATACCCTTTTCCTACCAGTGACTGCAAGCAGAGACAGTTGAAGCACAGAATTTCCGAAATGTCCCGATACGTTAGCTTTGTTTGGCTCAGGTGAAACGTTGGGTTGAAGACGATATCTGAATTCCAGAGAAGGGAAGGAGAAAATGATCTGGACTTACAAAGCATACTTTTGGATGACTGGGAAGATTGTTAGTCACTGCCTAGCCTGCTTCTGGGTTCAGTAAATTGCCTTGGTGGAACTGTGAATGTGGGTGGTGGGATTGGAACAAAGGTTAGTAAGAGTTGGCGCTGTGGCATCAAGCTGTCGGTTCCAGCTTCTTCCATAGCCCTACCCTGCGGGCAGCGGTTGCCATTCGGTGGTCTGCAGACCACTGGTTGTCTGTGAGGTCCGAAAGTTGGCGACCACTGTGCTAGGGGACCTCAGGCTCAGATGGCTCTGCTGAAGGATACAGACCCCCTCCCCAAACAGCCCCCTACACTCTGCTGTGTGGCCAGACCCCTTCCTTTAATCTGTACTCTCTCTGTCCCTTAGATGCTGGAGTTTCTTCAGTTAATGAGCAAATTTAAGGAAATGGGTTTTGAACTGAAAGACATTAAGGAAGTTCTGCTCTTACACAACAATGACCAGGACAATGCTTTGGAAGACCTCATGGCTCGGGCCGGAGCCAGCTGAGACCAGGCCCTGCCTAAACCCTGCCACGGAACCACCCCTGCAGGCGGCCCTGCGCAGCCCGCCGTGGGGAAGAAGGGGCACATGTCCGGATTTTCTTTTGGGGGTGGAAGGTCAGATGTGGAGACTGTCTGCCAGTCTCTATGAGCCTAGGCCCTGAGCTGGGGAGAAATGGGGGAATATTTGGGCATGTGACTGCCCTTAGAACTGTCCTGGCTCCTTCCGTATTAAATATATTTGTATTTTGAGAAGTGTCCTTCCCACCGCGGCCCTCCAGAGATGTCTCTGGTTTTTCTGGGGTATGCCCCCAGCTGAAACCTGGGCTGGCTGCCAAAAGGAGCCAGGGACAAGCGGCAGGAGGCCCAGACTCAGTGCTGCTTTGGGGCTAGTTGCTTCCCTTCCCCACATTGGTGGACTGAACTGTACTACAGGTTGAGTGCAATTGAAAGGTTCTTCCAGGGTTTTATTTTCCTCCCTTTTAACAAAGTCTCTTAGTGTTACACTGGTTCTGCAATGTCACTGAGGTGCAAAGAATGCCCTTTTCCCCTTGGGGCCCTGAGTTTGCCTCTTCTGCCAGGCAGTTACCATGCTTCCCTGACCCAGCCTGTTTCTTTGGGCTTGGATTGGACCACAATCCTCTGGGGGGAGGACTTTAGAGCCCCCTGCTCTAGGAAACAGTTGTCACATTAAGAAATCATTGGCCCCTTCCCAGCACACCGAGTTGGGGAGAAATGGGCTCTGATTTAGTTGCCCAGCACTAACTCCACCTCAGTTCTCTTCGGAGAACAGCCTCTCCCCTGCTCTAGGATGACACAATGAATAACAGCTAGTCATAGAAATCAGTCTCTGGTTTGTTTTGTATTATGCTGTACATCATTAAATATCTAAATACAAAGGATATACAGTCTTGATGAATCTAAAGTAATTTGCTAATAACTATTTTGATTCTTCAGAGAAAACTAATAAAAATCTAAAAAGTATGTCTCGCTATCAACTTTATTGCTAAGGGCTATTTTACGTGTCTGTGAGTTTCCTGCTTAGATTTGCTTGCTGGGGATGAAACCAGGACCTAACCACTTTGTCACTTCAATACTTTCTTCCTACTCTAGGCCTGTGGGACCAAGGAGCTGGCCGCCCAGTTTGCCCTGGTTTTGGTTCACAAAGGCAGGCCGAGAGGAAGACCTGTTTAAACCTGACCTAGCTTGGTCTCTGGACCAAGGACATGTGCCTTCCTGTGAGACTGGCTGTTGAGGTGAAACAGGCTGGGCCTTTGGGGTAATTTACCCAGAAATGAGGAAGAAGTCCTTCCTGTGACCCCATTTATGTACTCTGTGCCACAGGTAGGTCTGGATGCAAACTGTTGCACCAGCTCTCTCAGTAGTGCTGTTGTAGCTGATAGAACTAGATTTATCCCTAAAATTTCTTTTCCTTTTATCTAAAATTGTCCTATAGTCCCTCTTGTGCTCTTGGGTGGAGGTGGGTTTAATTCTTTTAGTGATCACTTAAGGGACTGCAGAGCCTTTGGGCCAGGAAGCACCAAAGTGGAAAGAGGCTGCCCCCTTGTGGTCAGATCAGGCATGGCCAGAGGTTGACAAGTTGACAAAAGGTAGCAGGGTTATAGTCTCAGAAAGCCAGCTAGCCCCTCTTCTTTTGGCCTTTAAAAATTAATTAAGCCCCCCTTTTAAAGCCATTAAAAATTATTCTTTACCTGTAGCAACTAAAACTTTCACAGTATAATTTTTCAGGGCCAAGACTGTGACACACGAATCTTGATCTGACCCATGGTGGCCTTGGCAAATGATGGCCACTTGGAGGCCACTTTGCATTTCTTGTCTTAAGCTTCTTCCTGCTAAAATGATAGCAAGCAGAAAACTCTGTTTCAGAGTCTCAGACTGTTGACTAAAATACTCATTGCCAGGATACTGAACACAGGCTATTTTGAGAAAGGGGAGTAGAGCAGGGTTTTCTGGATGAAGGTGAGCTAGGAGATGGACTTGCCTGAGAACCACCAGCTCTTCAACTGTCCCATGAGTGGGTGTGGTGGGTGAGGAGTCTCAGATTGGAGGCAGGGAATGCCAACAGGATTATGAGGGCTTTTGGGGCTTGTAAAAGGCTGATCATCCCAGCAAAAGGCAGAGATGGACAAAGAACTGGATTGCAGAAAGGGAGAACCGAAAGCATAAAGTCTGTCTCACATCTTCTGCTGTTAGAGAAAGACACAGCAAGTCAAAGTTTATTCATTTTACATTTCAAAAGCCAACCTAACCCCCAAATAATGGGGCAGAGCTCACCCTGCCCCTGCCCCACTAGGATCAATGTTTTCGTTTTTGGCTCAACAGGCACAGAACCCACCTGATAAAGCTCCTGGGCTGAGCATGTTATCTTCCCCAGCTTGTAACCTCTGGCCTGTAGGTTTCCACTGACCACCCACACTCTTAGTTTCAAATTCAGAAACATCTATAGGATTGTCACGTGTGTTTCTACAGACGGGTTAGTAAGACAAATTCTCTTCCAGCCTCAAAGAAAGAGGCACATAAAGATGCTCCAGTACTTGGAACTGAAGGATAGAGGCTTGTCCCTGAGAGAGGAGCAGGGGCCCAGCCAAGGCCACGTGTGGCTGCATGGGCAGGACCAGGGAGGGGGTTCTGATATCCGTATGATCTGGCAGGAGTCCCTTCAGCCCCTGAGAAACCAGTGTAGGCTCGGGCCGCCCCCACCATCCCATACTGGATCTTGCTCTAAGACACCACTGTCCTCTCAGGGGCCTCAGACAGCCTATGGCAGGCCAGGTATAACTGCAGCTGGTTCCTCAGACTCTGGATGCACTTGGACTTCAGAACCATGATTTCATCCAACTGGGTGACAAAATCTTCAAAATCCTGAGATAGGAAACAAAGGACAAATGGTGCTGTTGCTGGACCTCTCCCAGACCTGCTTTTTTTCTTGCAGGAAAACTTCAGAGCCCAGACCCTCCAGCTGGAAAACCTGCAGCTTAGTTACTATGGCACAGGGTGGATCCCACTTCTCTGCATTTGGGACACTTTATATACAGATGTATTTTTCAGGGTAGCGGGTGTTTTTGCAGAGAAGTACTAGTCTGCATGTGGCTCACGGTTACTGTCACAAGGAGGGCCCCAAGTAAGCCACTGGGAAGGCAGAACAATGAAGGGTAGAGGCCAGAAACATTTTAGTCTGGGACGGGAGTGGAGCATCATCTCCCGCCTGTCCTTCAACTCCCTGAAGCTATCCCAGAGGAGTGCAAGAGGAGGCCCGAGGCCTCAACAGTGGTTAGCGTGTGGCGCAGACCCCTACCCCACATCTATCCATGGCAAACAAAGCTGACCATCATATTACTACAGACTAACAGCCACCAGCCCCTGAGTGTCCAGCCAAGGCCACTTACATTAGGAGCCAGCTGGCTCATCAGCGTCTCCTCTTTGAAGCCCAACTCGGCCATTTCATCCAGCTGTTCCTGGTGTGCTCGGATGACCACCTGCCTGGGAACACCAAAGGGGATGCTGTGAACCTCTGGGCCTCCCATCTCTCCTGGGTAGCTTTTAGGAGCTGAGCCCCATTTCCAAGCCAGGAGCTGGCGCTACCCAAAGTGGTCAAGCTTTGACAAGGACCCACTCACCCGACCTCCTCCCCTCTCACCTGTTCTCAGGACTTGTCAAGAGACTAGGAAATACCAGTGAGAGACGGGGCTTCTAGAGCTGTCCCCTACCTCCCAGGTACACTAAGCTTCTCTGCAGAAAGGGTAAAGGTAGTATCTCAAGCTGACATACTTGGCATAAGGTAGAGCCTGCTGTCTAGCCTGCTGTCATTTCTACTTCTGGGGGGTCCAGGACCAAAACATGAGTATTTGCCCTACAAGCCAGGGGATCTGCCTTTTGCCAGACTCTACTGATGAGTAGAGACCACGGAGACAACCAGATTGTTTACCAAGGAGAGGCAGGCCCCTCTCCCCTGTATGCCTCTGTCCATAGCCCTGGCCTGAACATCTGCGAGTAGCAGACAGACAGCTGGCCTAGGTAACAGGAGCCCCAACAGAGAGCTGTATCCTATAAGAAAGTACTTGTTCACCCTGCCCTCCAGCTCTGAGGCTTCTATTTCTGTGGGGGCATCTGCTAGATCCTCCACCTCCTTTCTTTCACATCCTCTAAGGCTGCTATCTCATCTCTGCTGCACCATCCACACACAGTATCCTTTGGGGCAAGCAGCACAATGACAGCCCCACCCCATTTTTACTTTCCCTATCTTGGGAGGTACCCAACCTGAGCTTTGAGGGCACGACACCACAGCTAATGGGTTGCTGGGCAACACTTCTGGGAACACAGACCCAACAGAATGAAGAGGATTCTGATCTCACCAGAGGCCATAGGCCTGCTTATGGGGACAGGTACTCCCCTCTCACATCTGTTTTCCCTGCTCCAATACGTTTTATTCCTATTGGGTGCATCTAGACAGATTTCCTTGAAAAGCCTTTCTCTGGCTGCAGTATAGCTCCGACACAGCTAACCATAGCTATTCCCAGAATAGGTAAAACATTATACTGGGGTGGGAGAGGGTGCCAAAGGAGCTCAAGTCTCAGGGAGAGAGTCCAACTTACTGTGCGTGCCCCAGGGTGGGCTGATGCAGTGTCTCGGCAGTCTTGGGAGAGCAGCTGGGAACCAGGGGAGATCCTGGCCTTGCTAAGCACCTTTGGATTGGCCTATGTTTGAGCCAAGCAATGTCCTCATTGTAATAGGGCAACTTGATGGAGTCTATGGACAAATCCAGCTCCTGCCAACCGAGCCCTGCCAGATGCTTTCTTTCAACCCAAGGCTGCTCAGCCACACCACTGCTTCCTGTTCGTGCGGTGGGTGCAGGCTCACAGTGGGGTCCTGCATGTATGGTGGGGAAGAGCTTTCCTGAGAAACCCTGGGAACTGTTTAGTTCTGCCTCCTCGGCACTGGTGTCATACTGTTCACTAGCCACATGCTTCAGGGAGAGAAGTGCAATCC